TAAATTACTTTTAAAACCAACCAGGGAAAAACACACCCACATATATGTCCAGTATTGATAAATTCCCTTTCAAATCAACCAGGGCAAGAAGCAAGACACAAACTTAAGCAAATGGGGGTTCTCCAATCTTGCTTTTCCTGAAAACTCTCCAGTCGCCGGCCCAGCAAGTTTCCCGAACACACAAATCGAAGACGTGAATTTGCGGACGGCAAATGGAAGACAAGTTGGGCCTCGCCTGGCAGGTGTGGTACATGGGCAGCGCGTAGGGCTCCAACTCCGCGGAAAGCCCAGTGCCCAGAAACCGCGCCAAGAAGGTCCCCGTGCCCCAGGAGAATTGCCTCGTCCGCCAAGCGCCCGAATGTCCGCGGATTTCTATGGGGAAAAAGGGCCACTATGGCCACTCTTCGTGGAAACCTGGGCAAAACAATGGAAGAGAAAGGGGAACCAGTGAATGATCGGAAGTCTGGAAACCCCTTCTTGGGGATTCTTTGAGTATTTTGTGGGGGCGTTCTGGGGGGTTCCAGGAGAACCAGGACGCTCACTCAGCTGCCGCTTTGGTTTGGCTTGGTCGGTGCGTCCAGTTGATAGCTGACCAGGGTTTCCTAGCTCTGGGGTTTACATGATGGATTCCTGTGTGGATTATTTGCGTGTGTTCTCCAAAAGTGAAGGATCTCGTTCAAGTTAGGCATCCACCTATTCAGAAGCCCAGCCAAGGTAAAACTAGGCCATTTAAACACTTTGGCTGCTACAGTCCTGACTTCCAGTGAATTGCCATGGGCGAAAGAAGGCAACTATGTTTCAGGTGGTTGATTTAAATCAAGGAGACAAGGAAATACACCACGGAAGGTTTGGGGCAATCACGCAGCAACCACCGAACCAACGAGCCAACCAGTCAACCAAAGAACCTCGAGGTCGTTGGATCCAACTGACTGGGAGCCGCCACTATATGCCAAAATGATGCGTCGAAGTAGAAACAGCAAAAAGGCAGCACAAATAAAGCAGGTGGCAGTGTAAATAATTCAGCCTGAAATCAGGAATCCCCATGAGTCCTCCTGGGAGGAAGCCCTCCTTTTGCCCCGGATCGGCGGACGGCTCCCTCACGAGAGATCGAAACCTCGGGTGGACCTCCATGTTGCACACAGCTTGGGACGTGTTGATTCCGGAAAGAACCAGACTCGTCAAGCAGTTCGCACTTAACTATAAAAAGCTACCCCCTCCCCATCATTTCGAGTTGTAAAAACTCAGGATGTCAGTTTGCTGGTTAGTGCGGTATGGCCAGTTTCCGAGAGGTGAAAACATCGTGACGAGCACTTTTGGGCAACCAAGACTTTGGAGCGGTCAAAATGTGTGGTGGCGGTAGAGGACACGAGCTATACAATTCGAGTCTCGTCCGCCTGTGGTTGAAACTTCCCAAGTTGATCACGGACTTGATATTTGGAGCAAACCTCTTGGGCCCCGCCCACTGACCCCGTTTTGTATGTGTACCAGAAAATGATGCCCCACACTGGGGTCTAGGTGTGGCCGCACTGATCCCTTTTGACAGGAAACTGCTCCAACCTCTCCCAGTGTTCCAGGGGCTGTTTTTGGCAGCTCCCCCAAACTGTCCACATCCGAGGTATACGCAGAAGAACACATGAGAATTGTTTTTAAAGGTTCAGGGCTTATACACTGCTGGGGAGGCTACGCGGGGGGCTTCGCGGGGCCAGATTTCGTGGAAGGGTTGGCTTCGCGAGGCTTCGCGGCAAGACTGTGGCTTCGCGGAGTGGCTTCGCCGGGCTTCGCGGATGCTTGTTCCACAAACATCTCTGACGTTTGTGCTCTCATGCAGTTGAATCAGGTTAAGACCATGCGAAAGGGGGCGATGAAGGCGGTAAAAAAAATTGAGCTTCAGGACTAGGGGACATGGCTGGGCCAAAGGGGCGGAGCGTGGAAGTTGGACCGCGGTGGCTTCGCGGAGGCTTCGCGGGGGCTTCGCGGAGGCTGCGCGAAAACGTTCCATCGTTTCTCGCAAAACCGGGCCTGAAACGCACAGTGCTCTTCCGGTCGTCTTCCTGTAATCTTTCGCACGCTACTGCCATGAAAGCACACAACACACTTGCCATGATCGCACATAACACACTCCAACCACGAAGTGGCTTCGCAAAGTGGCTTCGCCTGTGTGAATGTTGCCGGGCTTCGCGAATTGGCTTCGCGGGGCTTCGCGGCACACAATGTATCACACAAGTGCCTTCGCGGACCTTTTGGGAGTTCCCCACGAAGCTAAAATCCATCATCTGAGAAAAAAAACGCTGCTCACATGAAGTTCCGTCCCAAATTGTTCAAACACACAAAGACCTTCTCTCCAAAAAACCTTTTGACTCTACAAAGACCTTCCCTAACGTCCAGGACCTCGGGGACCGATTTGGCACCAGTCAGTTCCTTGCACCACGGCGCATGCCGCCGGGAGCTTGGAACCAGCGGCCGCTGAAGACCACCTTCTCCAAGCCATTCGCCGCCTCAAGTCGACGGGGCGGGGCAGGGCGGGGCGGGTGGGGTGGGTGGGGTGGGGCGGGGCGGGGCGGGGTGGGGTGGGTGGGGGGTGGGGCGGGGGGGTGTGGTGGGGCGGGGTGGGGCTTGGTGGGGCGGCGTGGGGCGGGTGGGTGGGGTGGGTGGGGGGTCGAACCCTTTCAACATGTTCACTTGGGGGGTTCGTCAATAATTATTCCCTTCGGCCCCCCAACATTGGAACTTTGCCCATTTTAGTGGGAAGTATTTGTAGTGGTTTTCCAACCAATGGTCCTCCTATGTGAAGGACCTTTTGATCAACCCCCACTTGTCCCCCAATGGCCATGGGAACAAAGGCGCGCCCGCTTTTTCTTTTTTATGGTTGCTTTAAAGGGAACGCCAGACCTTCAGTGGATTCTCATGCATCATGGGCCAGAACTGACAGAACGTGCACGCCTTTAGCGGTGTTTAAAGGGAACCCCTCAGAATACTGCAAACACGGCACCACAAGAGGAGCTTCGTTTGGAGGGTCCCCCTTTTCGGATGGTTGTAAAGAACCAAAAGGAACCCAACCACTTTTCTGGAGGTTCACCATTTTAAGACACACCCTTGCTAAAAATCAACAACTTCTCAGTGGAGTATGTCGAAGAAATCCGTCTTTGACTTGAAATGCAATGCTAAAGTCTACGGGAATGGCTGGGAACTGCCAAGTGTTGCCAAACCACGTTACTTCTGCAGCCCCACTTGAAAACAAAACACAAAGAATCGGAACCAAAAAGCGGCGCAAACTACAAAAAAGAACTTCAACACAAGTAAAGCAAACAAATTAGGGCTAGGCCCTGGCCCAGTGCAAACGAGCCCTCAGGAAATAAGGGGGTTAGGAGTGCACTACCTCGGCATTTGCCAGACAACTGGTGTCTTAGTCTACGTTTTGACCATGCAGCAATGACTTTTCAACATGCAACATCATATCAAAAACAAATCCCGAGTCTAAAGTCTTGGATCCCCACCCCGCCTCTGAAGCAACGGCCAAGACGGCCAGCAGAGTTCGCGCTATGCAGCGAGTCATGGCAGGCGGGTGTGTCAAACGGGTCGATGTCTTCGTAGCGCGGGGTCTTTCTTCGCCAAGCTCAACTTTCTTTGCCAAGCTCAACTTTCTAAGTCGTGTCTGGGAAAGTGAGGACCCGGTAAAATTGGCGCCCGACCTGAGTCGACCACTTTTGGTTGCTCTCAGTTGCTAGGGGCCAAAATTGTCTGCGACAATTGAGACAGGTTCATGGCGAATGGCGATAACGCAAAGCGAGCCTTGCCGTGTTAGATGGGCTTGAATCAAATCACATGTGTAAAATTCCCCCAAATGGTCCGAATCCGGGTTGGTCCAACCCGCTCAACAATGTTTAAAATTATGCCGCTTCAAACAACCACTTTTTGGTGCCCCTTTTAAAGGGGACCAAGGGCTGGCCGTTGAAATGCTCGAGATTCTGGTCCGAATCCTGTTGTGGGGAATCATTAGAGCACTTCCTGTCAGTAGCCATTGTGAACGAATTATGAACTTTGATTTCTTCCCATAGGATTCCGAGGGGCCGATGCAACATGCATGTGTCCCATGCAAAAGCGTTGAACATATTGTAGACATCGAGGCATTGAATGTCAAGGCTGAGATCAGAATTATGGAGCCGATCCTACAATCTCCATTTCACTCTTCCGTTTTCGGTTGGGAGGGGGGCTGGGGTCGGTTTACGGGGGGCCTTCCGATCAACTGGATTGGTCCAAAATCCCAAACTGCCAAAATGGCCGTCCCAAAATGTATGAAATAAACTCGGGAAGTGAGCATTACGTAAGATGATGGTAGGACAGCACTTGCCTCTTCAACTTCTTGAACCATGGCCCCTTTAGAACCACAAACGGAAGAGCTCATGAACACAAAACATGCTGGTAGGGTCAACTCAGGTAAACCTACAAATAGATTCTAACGCTTGATCCTACCCTCAGGTTGGCATGGGCCTGGAATCGCTTGCTCCAACTCTTCGCGCGCGCTGGTTCAAGGTGGCTCCAAAGGTATGGAGTCCTCGCAAACCACAAAAAAACATGGCTAAGCTACTGCTTCTCCGCAGAGAATGGGCGAATGCCCCCGAATTGCGGAACCATCCCCTATGGCTTTTCAGGGACTCCCTAGGTTCATGCCTGAAACTCGGAACGGTCATTCCCTACTGAGCACCAGCCAGTACCTTGCAGTTCTTCCCTTTCGGCCCGCGGTGAAGGGAAACCAAAGGACGCTGCTCACCAAGTTTCTGCACGCGTGGTTTGGTTCTTGTTCTCGGTTCAGTGACCCGGGTAGGAAGAGAATTAGAACCAGGACTGTTTGGGAATGACACTTTCTTCTTTCTTGTTTTTGTGGAGAAGCTATTTACCAATCAAAAAGGGAAACACATTCATTGTTGCCACTGAAGGGTGTTTGTCCTTGTGTTGTGCTTAGAAACCCTGATCACTTGCGCCCGTGGCCCCACAGCCCCTGCCTGCAAATGCGGCTCTATCCTAAAAGGGCATCGCGTCGCCCGAGATCGGACTCGACGCAACACTCAGATCAACACGGAACCCAAAAAAGAGCACAGACTATGTTGTTTGACAAACTTCCTTTTCTGGTGGACCCCTTTACGGGTTCCACCTTGGTCAATCTGAAGAACAGTCCAAGATAGATGATGGCTTAGCTGCCACAAAAGCCGAACCGTTTTGCTTCCCGGGCCAAGTCAGAATCTCTCAAAGAGAGATTCAAGGTCAATTGCAGCCCAGCTGACCTTTTGGATCCGGATGAAGAACCTAGTTGCCCATCTGCAAAAACGAGGAAAGGGGTCCCTCCCTGCACGAGCAGCTTGATTCAGGGCTTCTGGTGGGCTCCATGGCAACTTCAACAAAGCTTCGGCTTCTGCAGAGTTGGCACGTGTTGTATCTTTGTGGCCGATGCAAAATGAAACGATGCTTGCAGTGACTCTCGCTTCTTGCAAAGCCAGAAGGGTAATATAATGTGATTGAATTGTGGCAAGTAGTAGTTTCTTCATGGATTGCTTACCTCGCCCCCTTAAGATAAAGTAATCCATTATTTCATTGTTTCCTACAACTCCTGGGGGATAACAAGTGGTCCCCAAGTCAAGGACCCTCATGGTGACCTCGTAAAAGCCCGGCGAGCCTTGCCAGGAAAACCTCGCGGGCCTCGGGTTTCCCGAATTTTCGGTGGATTTTGTTTGGACCAAAAAGAGAGGGCTTGCCCTTTTCGCGGATCATTCTTGAAGGGGTTGCTCTCCCAAATACCCCAAACAAAGGGGACAACATGCCCCCCCCCCCCAACAAATACAAGAAAAAAAGAAGACATGCCCCCCCCCCCCCAAATCCCCCCCCCAAACAAAAAGGGCACACATGCGTCCACTGGTCTGGGAAGACCTTGGGCTTGAGCTCCACTTCCGCCCGATCCCTCGGGTCGCCCTCGGGTCGTCGCTCCGGTCCTCTGCGCCGGCAGCTGGGCCAAGCCGCTGGCATCCCCGGGCCCCGAGATGTTGATGCTCCAGCCTGGCCCCGCGAGCCTTTTCGCACGCACTTCGGAGCCCAGGAAACCAAAGCAAAGCTCCCACTTGCTGCTTTTTGTTTTTTGTTCTTCCCCCCCCTGTTGGGTTTAAAGGGAATCTATATCACTACTGGAAATATGGTTTCGATTTTTTGCAGGGGTCTTTGCCAAATGGAAGAAAGCTGGCCAAATGGTAAGGGTCAGTAGACAAAGCGGGTGACCCAAGTTCGAGCAACTTCAGGTTTGGCAATCTGTTCAAGGAAGCAACCTGTCGACTTCTGAAAGGTCACGGAATGCTAGAACCCAAACACGAGGTTGCTTCAATGACCCCATCGGAAGGATTGAAGTTCCAGAAAGCCGACTCAAAACCCTTCACCAACTGTCTTGTGCTTTGAACATCTTGACAGCGCGAGGCTGGGAGCAACGATACATAATGACATGACGTGGATAATTCACTTGCCCGAAGCCACGCGTGCGGCATGAATATCGCAACATGAAGCGCCGGGCTGGACGAATCTGTCGCTTTTCTGGGCAGCCCGTGTCCTCTTGGCCATCTTTGTCCTGCTTCATCAGACGTAGAGCGAGCGCACCGAGCAGGGCGGGAGATCGCGCTTCAGCAGCCTTTGGTTCAAGCGCTCCGGCTTGCACTCAGTCGCGTTCGCCTGGTAGTGCCTAAAGCATACCCCGAGATGAGACCGACACCAAACGCACCACCAAAAGACCTGATATGTTAACTGGCTCATGCAAGGAGCGAACCAGCCTTTTTGGGCCGTCTTCAATTCTGTACATTGACCTGGACCCCCAATGGATTTCAGTTTACGACTACGCATGGCCAGAATATGATGGATACCAAACTTTCAAAAGAAAGCACACAGCTCGCCAGACCTGGTTGACACCAGAAAAACAAGGAAAACAGAACGGGTCGCAATTTGGAATGAGGAACAAACACGTCAAAATTAGTCGAAATTTGGTTGACACCAGGAAAACCAATAGCAACAACATGCAAAACCCGGTCGGACGGGTCGGCTTGGGAAATGGGCGTCTCGATGTCTTGCCAATCGGCGATATTATGCCCTAAGGGTCCTGGGCCTTTGCAGCACCCTGAAGGTCCCCGAGTTGCTGAAGTCGGGTCTCAAAACAAGTGATGTTGGGGCAACCCCAAATCCGTCGATCGGACCCATGGAGTGCCTCACTTCCTGACTACAGATCTGATTGGCCGGATTTTGGGCTTGCCACTGAAATAGTCACCCAAAAAGGTGACTCCAGTCCAGGAACTCATTGGACGGAAATGACGGAAGTGAGATAATGTTGACGGATCTAAGTAGAACCCGTCCGATGAATATTGCGGATGCACGAAATGCTGCACCACTTTGGGTGAAACCCTTTAAATACTGGAATAAACTGCCTACCAAGTGGTGCAGGATTCTGAAACATTGATAGGAGGGGGTGTTCCCTCTAATTGATGATTCCCCACTAAGCCCAGGCCCCCAATAAACTGGGGTTGGTTCACCCAGGGCTCCTACAGGGAAGTGGATTCACTCAAGAGAGCCAGCTCAGCGATTCGCTTGAAAGTCCAACTTCAGCGGAGTCGAGGGGTTGTCCACCAGGATATTCGCCTGAGCGGGGGGCCATGCTCTGTAAGCCAAGCCCTGGTTGCTGTGCAAGAAACAAACAGATCATATTGTGTACCCTGAACCTTGGTATGCAGAACCCGGGACCCGGGACCCGGTCCCCGTACCACACCCCGAAGCGCGGGCCACTGGAACCCTGCAGGCAAACAAGCAGTGTCGAAACATGGCTGTGGCTCGAAATTACAGAGCTAGGATTACGCCGCAGGTTTTAGTCTTTGGATTCATCTACCAAGGTGCCGGTTTGGGAATTCAATTTTCTGGGCCACAGCTACATGTGCCACAGGAGGTGGGCTCACTCGGTAGGGAATGAAGGAATGAACCCGGGATTCCCTTACAGGAAACCACGAGGAATGGTTTATAAGGGTCATTCCCTCATTCCCTGCTGAGCGCCAGCAAGTGTTTGAATAAATTTATGGGTTTGGTGAAAACCCGGCATTGTCTTTGTATACGCAAATTGGACCGAGGAGGCTTGGATTCGATGGCTTCAGTAAAATGGCTCAAGTTGAGCCTCTTCGGATAGCAACAAGCTGACTTCTTGGCAAATTATCATCATTCACAAATTGGAAGTAAGGAATCCGAGAAAAGGACCATCAGGGGTGAGCTAGTTTTGCCCCCAGGTGAGCTTGTTGCAACTTGCCTAGATACTTCTGGATTGCTGGATGCCGCATGCACAATAACACACCAGTCGTCAATTTCAGCAGTTTGCTGCCGCCTCAAGTCAGCAGATTGACATGTCTCAAACACACGCAAACACACACACACACACAATGCAACCGCCCATATGTGCATACATAGAGTCATTCAATTTTAACAAAATGCTACATATACAAATGTATGTTTCTTGTCATTACTTCACTGTGTTTATGCTTGCTGATCATTCCCAGAGGATCCAGACAAGCCACAACAGCTGGGAATGATTTTCTTGCCTCTAGATACATGATATTTGTCTACCATCTAGACTTTACATCTACATTGATGTTTGACCTCTAGCAGTTGCCTCTCGAACTTCGCCTGCATTTTTTGTACCTTTTGTACCCCGCCCCGTTTTCCCAGTTCCCCCCTCAGTTTCTGGTGCAACTGGATGGCCATCCTCAAAACCTCTCGCAGCCTCGGGGCTCTGACAGACACGTAGCCGAAGATGGGCGCAAAGAAGTCCAGCGTGAAAGTGCAAGATCTGGCTCTCGCGCGCGCGCTTCCGCTTGGAACCCGGCTGGACGTGCCGCTTAACCCTTCGCCAACTTGCGGTTTGGCTTGGTGTGTTCAGACGTTAGCGAAGGTACTCGGGCTTGTTTTTGTTGAGCCTACCCTTTTTGGTGTAGTTTTAGAGGGACACCAAGAGGAAACCAACCCTTTGGGGGATTTTCGCAGTGTTAGGACACAGCTCTTGTGGCTTGTGTAAAAACCAGACAGGTGTTCCCTGTACCTTTTTTGACGTCATCGACGCAGCAGCAGGCAGTTCCAATAGCTGCAGTCTTGTTTGCAGTGGTTTGGTCCAAAAGTAAGAAAGGCGTGAGCACCTTGCTGCCTTACCTCGTGTGGAGGTCTATGTGCTCGGCTTACCGGGTTTGGGAGCACCTCATCAGGGGTATCTCCCTGACTAAGCTGCAATGGGTGTTGTTCTCTTACGCGCCCACTTTTCGAATAACTGGGTATAGGTCAAAATTAACTACCAGGGGACCGCAGGTGTTAGTCCATGCTTCCATTTAGCAGGGTTCCATTTTGGGTACCTAATTTTGACCCACTGCCAACTCAAGGTAGCAATGTTTGATTTCCTCGCAAGCGTAGGGTTTATGGGGCGATCATCCTTCTGGTTGGATGGCGTGACGGGTAAAGCACAAAACTCGATATCCCGTAGGTGTCCGAACCAATTGCTCACATTACTCAGTTGCCCAAAGGACCTGGCAATACAAGGTGATCACCTTTGGGGGCCATGACTTCAAATGGACCACATAACAGAAACCAAAAGGTCAAAAGGTCGATTCGCTTTGGGCCAAACCATCGCCCTCATGAGCCACCGCCGCCTCAGCGAGCAGTCCCACTGACCGCTCAGCGAGCCAGACCTGAGCGGAACCACCCACAGTCAGTTTCCCTCAAAATCGGTGGTTTGGCGGGGGGGTGGTTTCACCTTAGCCTCTACAAGAACAAGGGGACTCCGGCGTGGGACTCCGCCACGGCGACGCACAGGACCTGCCAAGCACCACCAACCTGACCATGTGCCGCTAAGAACCACCCAAAAGCACCTAAGGAGAGCTGACCTGACTGAGGTCCCAAGCATCCAATTTGTTTTCTGACACTCTCTACTAAAAGCTGCCACCCAGCCGAATTTTCAAGGGGGTGGTACGGGGAATGCCCAGGAAGGAAATGCTATGGTTTGTTCAAGGCTAGGAAATAGAGAAACAAGTTTTGCACCCAGGACTACCTGCCTGCTCAAAGAAACACCAAACCAATACAAAGCAACATCTAGATACTGGGCCAGCTCAAAATAATATTAAACCATTGACTAAACCAAATCTAAACAGTACTGGGCCACCTTAAAGAATAATACTCCAGACCAAGCCAATTCAAAACAGTACTGAGCCAGTACAAGAGAATACTATAGAATACTAAACAAATACTGAACCAATACTACACAGTACTTGCTGGAAGATTACTTTGGCAGGCCCCAGTCTGACACCCACTTTGCTTTAGGTTTTTCTCTTTTGACTTCCCTGGCTTGTTTTCTTTGTATATTCTTTTGCGCGGGGCCCTTTACTAATCACTCTTTCACATAAGGGTCCTGGGTGACAGCTGTCTGGAGCATTCAGCGTTCAACCCACGAATGTAAACAAGTTCAAAGCAATTTGTGTGACACTGTAGATGGACGAAATCCTGCACCACCAAAGAAACCCTGATGACTCCCGTATAATTAAATGACAACAAAGACTGGACTCAACCATGGTTTCATTTCGCGGTGGGAATTTGCTTCCGTCCATCCACAAGAGGAGCTTGTTCCCTAGTCATGCTATGCTTACCACCTACAAAATGGTTTACGAGGAACGTCTTTGGGTTTTGCCACAGGTGACCACCTGTCGCCAACCAAAACACCAGGCATGGTCCCGCCATTCGGTTGAAAAGTTCGGCCACAAAGCCAAAAACAACTCAACAAAAAGACACCCAACATTTTAGATGATTCGTAAACTTGCTTGACAACCGTGTTTCTGTGTGTCAAACGTCTTTTCAGGCTACTCCCAGACCCCCAGTAGATGTCCAATGGACAAACATATTCAGCACTGCTCCTCCCTCTAAGAAGAGGTGAGTCATAATCAAAACCCGGTTTCAAAATGATCAACCCAGAACCATGCTTCAAGAATTAAGAAGGCGGCCGCATCAATTTATGGTTGGGATTGACCCTTGCGAACCTTCATCTACCCGAATTAGAAATGATTGTGGCTCAGGTGAAACAAGGATGCAACCCACTGAGTGTCTGGACCCGTTAGGGGTTTCCAGACATCTAGGCCGCCCGGCAGACGCCGAGAGACCTGTTCCGCCTGAGGCGAATGCAGATCAGCGGCCGATGTGACATGACCTCCATTTACTTAAGCCCCCTGCAAACAAATATGTCCAGTAGTGATAGCTTTAAAAAACAAAAGGGGAAAATGAAAAACTATTCCTAAGCAAATAGAAGATTAATGAGGCGGTGGGCTAGTCAAAAACCAGATCTACTCATGATTGTTTAAGCTTTGTAACTAATAAGTTCGCTCCTTGTATTGCCGTTTTGAGGAGGTTTTAGAGGGGAACTAAAGGTAAACCAGCCATTTTGGGGTCCCCCCCCCATTTTGCGACACGCAGCATTGAAACTGTTTCGGGCGTCTCATCCGTTGGCTCAGTCTAGCGCACTTGGCCCAAGCTTGGGCCAAAAACCACAAGGTTGTGCTAGTTTGTAGTTGAACCGGTCGCCAAAAGGTTCTAATTACCTGGACCCCCGCTGGACACCTTTGGTCTGTGTCGGCAGAAAAGAAAATCGGTCCATTGTGAGTTCAGCTGGGTCGGTCGAAGCAAAGAGCAATCAACAATACTTTGCCGCACGTTAAGGGGACAACACTTGGACCCAAACACCACCCCTGAAAAAGGATGTTGTGTGTGTGTGTGTTTGTCATCAAACCTGCTTTCTCAGGCTTCACGTGTCATGCTTTTGTTGAAAGGGTGGCCCGGCTGAAAAAACAGCATGCTTGCAAGATAAAATATGTGCAAACAGGTTGTCGTAAAGGAACAGCAGAGGGAAACTCATCAGTTCTGCTTGGCGGCTTTCTTCCAGCTGAGTTCGGCCTACCAGCTCTTCAACCCAAGGTGTCTTCCTTAGGTAGCCTGGCGCTTTGTCCGAGGCCCTGAGCGGCCACGGGGAAAACAAGGCACTCTATTTTTGGTGGTCTGTGTTTAAAGGAAAGAAAAGGACAACAGGGCACCGCTAAGGTCTGAGTTGTTGAGAGGCCCAACACGTCGATGACAAGCAACAGGTTCCCAAGCCTCTTCGCCTTCTTTCGCCCCGGACACTCACATGTTAATTGGCACCCCAAAGATGTTACCGTCCCAAGAAGGACATGTATACGGGTGTGACCCAACACTAGGGGGACCTCGGGTTTAAGTTGGTTTCCTTTGAAACCAAACAAACAAGCATGCCCAAAAGGCAACATACCCATGTTTGTCCCCGTCAAAACTGTGGTTCATGGTTGTGATTCCCTTATGGAAACCTTTACATTTGTTGTCTTAATCCGATATTTAGAGGTTTACCCCCAAGCAAGCAGGTTTTCATGGCATAAAGAGAGGGGCCCCTGCGGGAACCTGAAGAAGGTCCCTTCTTTGATTTGGGTAATGTTCCCACTAATGATTAAATCCCCAGTTATTAATTCATCCAAAACTTGCACCTGGAACAACCACATATCCTACCAGACAGGGACCCCATTTAAAAACAGGGGGGGCATCCGCGACCCGCGGTCGCCATGGGACAAATTGCACTCTTTTGTCTGTAGGGCCTGGAGGTGTTTTTCCCGGAAGAAGTTGCAACAACAGAAATGGCCATGGGTCAAAATCCCGGTTACCCCCCAGTGAACATCCCAATCCAACCACAAAAAACGGTTCTAAAACATGGGTGGTGCACCGGAAAACCTCCAAAACGGGATCCCAAAATGGCTTTGACCCACAGCCAAATCAACCACTGGCCTGTAGGGGTTTTCCCTTCTCAGAACAGGCTTAAACAAGGAAGCTACCCACTGGGTCACTGGAGCTCTGGGTTCATCAGCGGGTCATCGCGAGCGACCCGATCCCGCGCTTTTCGACCAACACGGCTTGAGGTCCCCGCACTCCGCACCGAAAATCCGGGGGGCCTGGGACACGGGCGCTGAATGAGCGCCGGACGTGCAAACGGAAACGGCCTTTTTGGCTTCCCAACTGCCACACAACCTGGATACAACAGGTTGGCCTTGTGGGAATTTACCAATCATACTGCAATTTGGACAACAATTCCAAAGTCTGATACAAGAAATGGAGCCCCAACACAGAGACCTACGTCATGGTGCATCGTATGTCTGAGTGCATGTTCCAAAGGCCCCAAAGACCCAATCCCCTCGCCCATCATCCCCGCATTCACGAGAGCGCCCCTAAAAGTAAGGATGCTGATAAAATAAGGTCTCCATGGGGGGGGGGTCCACAATTGGCCTAAGGTCAGAAAACTGGCGTATCTCTTTGATGAGAAAACCCGTTTGAGGTTCATATGCCCCTCTCCAACAAGCGGACGCTGACAGGGGCCTCGGAAAACAATCTTTTTCTTGGGGCAGACCCCTGTCCACTTCATTGATTGTTCGCAAGAGGGTATTCACTAACCACAAGTTTGCAGCGGATTAAACACAAGTCATGTTGAAGTGTCTCAAAGAAGGGGAATGCCCCAGAAATGGGCTTCGGTTGCTTTTTGCTCAAAACTCGACCAAGGTGCTAACTCCCAAAAAGACACCACAACGAATGCCATTTGATCCCGTGGTTGAACATCAAGGAGACCTGCACAAATAGTGCAACAACTCCTTCGTTGAAGGAATTCCCTCGCCCCCCCCCAAGGCGTCCGGCAGCCATGGGGAAAAAGAATCGGCACCCTTGTCGTGGCAGCTCATTTTGCAGGGACCCGCCCCCTCCAAAACAGCGTAAAAGCAACAAGGTGCACAGTTGCCGCTGGTGGCAGACAAGCCCAAACCAACAGGATATCTCCTGAGACCCGGACAGCTGCACGGTCAGCGCTGCCTGGAGGCTCGCACCTCAAAGCTTGCATTTTTAGGGATAAGGCGAAGGCGAAAACGGTCAAGGTATCAAAGGACCCAAGAGAAAACCCGAAAAAAAAAGAAAAGAAGAAGATACACAAACTCAGTTGGCCCTTTTAAGGGGTAAAGGGTTTTGGAGGCATGGATGTCTATCAGCAACGTAAGATTGAAAGGCAGTATATACCCCTTATCATCTTAGGACCTGACTAGTAAATCCACCCTGAACAAGAACTTCGCCCCGGATCCTGGAGAAAAAAAAACGAATGCGTATTTTAAAGTATCCAATGCTAGTTTTTGTGTACAGGCATTCGGTGGCGCTCAAGAAACCCAAGGAATAGCCAGCTCGTGCCCGCGCACTTGAGAGCATGGATACTATGTGGAATTTGCCCCAAGCCTACTTTCATTAAGACCCGCCAAACAAACCAACACAAAGATCCGCTTTCAGATTGCCAATTGCCCCCCCCCCCCATCATCATAACATCAACAATAACCAAACATTAAGCAATGAGCACGATGTCCAAGAAGCACACGCACAGGCCAGATTTGAGAGGCATTGCTTTCATCATGATCTCTAACATTAGTTGCTCCATGGGTACCTCTACAGCGTTGCTTGCAGCTTACCACCACCCGCCGCTAATGACACCACGCCACACATATTTCATGCTCAGGCCCTTGCACACACACACACACACATCAAAGCCTTCGAAGCAAGCAGGCGAACTCCAAAAGGCATTGATTGAATCATTTTGCACCAGCAAATTAGGACATTCATTACATTGCTTCCAGATTGGACACCACCCGACACTCGTGATGCCACAGCATACTTGATTGATGCCCGGGCTCAAAAGGAAACTTAGAGGCAAACATGAGGAACCAGCAATAAGAAAATAATGTAAATCGGTGGTGGTGGTGGTGGTTGTGAGGACAGGGGGCAGCCCCTCCAAGGCGCACTCCCTGGCAACACCCGCTCCGCGAGCGTCACAGTCGGGGTCCCCTCCACTTGTTCTAAAGAGATATTCATGTAGGGATATATGATTCTGTCAATGTGTTTGATAATTAAGAGGAAAATATCATGTCCAGCCGATATTCATCAACCCCTGTTTATAAATGGGGGGTTTTCCCCTCCAAAAGTGGTCTGATTCCCGACATTTCACCCAGGTTGACACGCACCCCCCCAAAATAAATAAACTGCCGGGTTGAAATTAATGTTAGGGGTCAGCATTAGAAGAGACCCCAGATAGCCCTTGTCGGTCGATGCACACTTTTGTCAGGTTCCACGAAATTTGACCCAGAAGAAAAAAAAACGTCCGTCCCATGAAGAAGGGGGTGTTCCCTCCAAAAGTGATGAGTCCCCACACCAAAAAGGGGACACTGATCAAAAAGGGGTTTATTAACCTGTTTTTTTTCTTTCGCTTTTTATTATCTTAAGCCCCTTGGAAAAAATACAAGTATGTCCAGCAGTGCTCGATTCCTTAAAAACCACCAGGGGAAAAAACAACTTGGGTGTGGCTCCAAATTAAACAGGAGGGGTTACGCAGGTTCTGGTCCATGTTTCCACTTACCAGGGTTCCATTTTGGTACCGGTTTTTTGAGCCACAGCCACTTAAACAAATGGAAAACCACCAGGGGAAAAAATGGAAGGTAGAACTCTTCACCACGTTCAGCTTCCGTCGCTTTCGTCCCAGGCGCTGCTCAACAGGGCGGAGCCCAGGCGAAACCGCAGGAAGATCTCCCGCCGCACCTTTCTCCCCATCGTCGAAAGAGCGGCGAACGACGGGTCCCCAGCGACGGCGGCGGCGCCGTATTTTGGGCGCCTCAAAAATTTGGATGGCCCAAGGGGATTGCTTCAAATGGAGAAATGCGGGTCGCCTAGCTTTTGGGGATTTGCTGCTAGGTGGACATTTTTGGCAAAAAAATGGGACTCCCTGAAAGATGGAGGGCATGAAATTCACATCTGAACCGGTGGGATCTATCTATTTCTAGCCAAACCTGAAAGGGAAAGCCATGGGATTGCTTTGTGGACTGAGGAACTGCAAAAGTGAAACGACACCCGTCGTTGGGGTCCCAGCTTTGAACGCGCAAAAACCTAAAAACCTGGCTTCAACGGGGGCTTCCCAAATCTCCTCCTCAATCATGTTCTTGCCACACCAATTTCTGGCTGCTGTGCAGCTGACGTCCACTATGCTTTGATTGCCCCTAATCCAAAGGCGCGATGGAAAGTTTGCAGCCACATAGAAGGGGGCAAAATGATTGGAATGATGGAATTGGAAGTTGGGCTATAATTCAGGTATTATGCGGTTCTACCTATAGTCACTGAAACGGCTCTCTCCTGAAATCGGTTGTTGCTCCAAGTTGAGAACCATCCATATATAGGTCTAGAAGTTAAGTGGCGAGTAAGCCTGGATACAAGGTTTTACAAAGAGACACGCAATTGACACAGAAACGCACGCGACCACCTGGGCAGGTCTGGAATGCCTCGTTTCCAGCGGGTCAACCGGAACAGGAAAGTCAAGCAAGAGCGGGTTCTCATCACCTTCAAAGGACCTGAACATGAAAGGACAGCCCGTCAAAATCGCGACATGCCGTCTGTGAGTATGTGTGGGTCTTGCTTATGAATCCCCGAAACGGAACTCTAGCATGGGGTTGGCTGATCATCCCCATCAATCCTGTCACTGAATGGACTGACAGATTCATGTGTCCACAAGTTCCGCTCGTTCGAGTTGAATGGGACCTTCTGTGTCACTCACTTTTGGGATCAACGGACAGTTCTAGGGACAAATCCAACCAATACTATTCCCAGGCCTTCAGTGATGGGAACATGTTCATCCCTACAATTCTATCCCCGAACACTCAGTGGATTTCTATGGACACAAAGCAATCGAGATTGTTTTGTTGGTAGTCGAGTTTGAAGGGGAGTTCCCTCCGAGAAAAACCAGCTCAACAAAGCGACACCCGCAAAGTCTGGGTATCCGGTAATTCATCCCATTCTCAGCCACTTCCTTCCGCTAAAAAGAGGAGTCACACGCTCACCCTTCCACATGTTCTCATTTCCCAACCAAAAGGCTCGTGACTTTCTGGGAACACCCCAAACTGCTTGGTTTCCCTTTGACGCCCCTCTCCGCTCGCCAAAACCATTTTATGAGCCACAGCCACATCCCTCCTGACAAGGCCCCCGCATCCCCTGCGAAAGCGCGATCAGCCGAGTCATGGGACAGCACGCCTCCGACCTTTGCGCAGTGTGGCGCACGCTCGCGCGGGGTCTCTCAATCGAAACCGAACGGGATGCATTCAGGAAATACGGAATCACTGGTAGGGGGCTTTATTGTGGGTGAGCTTGCTTTGTCTCCAGGAAAGCTCGTCCCTAAACTGCGAAGAGGGCATAAATCTTCAATTCAAACGCCATACATTTGGTTTCCAGTAGCAACCTGTTCAAAAGGGATACAGTACCAAGTCCAGGCACACCGGTGGCAATGAAACCAGATACAGAACAGGGGCCGCCCAAGACCCCCAGTAAAGAATGACAGCGGCCAACAAACACACTGCACATATTTCGGGCAGAAGGACTGCCCCCGACTAAGCTGCACTTGAGCAGGTATCAATTGTGATTCACGGGCTGTCTTTGCGAGCCGGCGTCTCCCTGCGCTGAACTCAGTTCCCAAAAATTGATGCAACGTGATGTTGAGAAACCGAAGTCCTGAAAATCTGGCAGGGTCCTCGGAAGCCCCAAAAAAACAGCTCGCTAACTTGCAAATGTGCCGACATGGTGTTCGGTGCTATTGTCTTTTTCTGGACCATTTAGGTGGAGTCTATGGACCCAAGAGTGAGACCCAATCTTGGCCCACTTCTGCGGGAACATAGATAATAATTGTGCTTTCTGACGCCTCCATAGTTAGCCCACTCTAAAATTTGAAATATGTTTGGCTCGCTTCCTGAGTGGATTGGTTGAAACAAGTCCAAACTTGTTGGTTGCTTCTCAAAAAGTGACAGTCCAGGAACTCAAGGAGTCAGGAAAGATGTCCTTGTGTGTGTGTGCCTCATCCTTGGGCAAAGACAATTACACGACCCACATAGCTCAGAACTCGGCCAAAATCTAATATACACAGAAACTCCTATTTCTGACTCTCTTGCATATATGATCAGTCTATGTAACGTTGACCCCACAATTCATCAACCCCAGTTTATGAATAGGGGAGGTGGAGCCCCCTCCAAAAGAGGAACCCCCATCTTAAACAACTGTTTGGTTGATTAATCCGCGGTCGACATTACAGCCGATTTATCACTTTTCAAGTAGCGCTATGACCACTTGTTTCTCATGCGCTTACAGAGCTCCCTTGGCCCCGGAAGGCACAAAGAAAGCCACCTTTCGGCCCTCCGGGCCGTTCAACCCCACTCCGCGCGCCGCCCGTGAACCCCCGTGGGCCCCCGTGGGCCCCCGGGCCACGCTGAGCGGCGCGAAGGGCACCGGCCCCGTGGACCTCGCGTAGGCCGCGCGGGCCGCGAAGGCGCCCTCCGCCTGCGCCAGCTCCGCGCCCAAGCGGCTGGGCCTCGGGCGGAAGGCCGGGCCCAAAAAAAATCCGTGGCTGCGCACCGAAACTGGGTGGAACTCAAACTCGGTTGTTCAGTGACCCGGGAAAAAAAGGAACCCTTTTTGGGGCTTGGACCACTTTTAGTGGGGCAGCCACCAAAGAAAAGGGGAAAAAGGGTGCCACTGAACAACTGAGCAAATAATTGGTGGAAAAACCGGCGGAATGTAAACAGAATCATCATGTTGGCGACATGCGAATTTGGGAAACGGTGTCAGCGATTTGTTTTGTGGTTTTCCTATTTTTGTTGCAACAAAATGAGGAAGTTCAGCGATGCTGGGTACACCCAAACTGGGTGGTTGTTTATTGATTTCTCAAAGGGCCTAAGGGAAAAACTGGGCAAGTTCAGACAAAACTGGCTGGACCCCCACTTTCTCAAAATAGTCGCTCAAATAGTTGGATTTCAGGGCCCCTGGGTCAAAACTGGATGGAACGCACCGGTTTCTCCAAAAGAGGCCTCTCTAATGGTCGCTCCCTACTGGTTGCTGAATAAGAGTCCTCCCCCGAAACAAATAAGTGGTGGGATGAGATTCTTGTGTCCATGGTTCGATGTTTCAACTTGGGTGATCAAATCCTCGGTTCGCTTGTAAGGATCCCCCCCCCCCCCGAAAGGTTCTCAGGCCCCTCCTTAGAACCTTGTCTGCGTGGATGTTCAACCAACTTGGTAAGTGGGGCAACTGGGCAACTGGGTAGTGTTCTCATAAGCAGGGTTCTAACCTCAGTAGCTTTCACCCAATATGAACTGAAGCAACTTGCCCAACCCCGGGGTACACCAAGCCTCAGATTCAATAAAGTTCTCTGAAAATGAGGAAGCTGTCACAGGTTCGAGAATCATGACACCAAAGCGTTTCCTTTGTTTCCCAACATGAGGAAAGGGATGCATTTGCGTTCCAGCCACCTTTGGTTGTCTTCAATTTAAGTTCCAGAACTCCTGTATGCTCCAGAAGGACTCTTACAGTGTGAAAGGAGACAACCTTTCTGCAACAGGCTGAGGAATCGCAGGTTCGCGCTCAAGCTCTTACTCTGACAAACGTTTAAGTGGGAAATCCACTCCTAGAACTTGCTCAGGTGGATCCCCTTGACATGACAGATACTCGCTTCGGACGTCAGTTCCCGTAGCTAAACACTTTGCCACTCATACTGATACTGCATAACCTTCTATCGCTTCTATCCCGATTTGCCGGTGAGTCAGGTGATAGCGACCTGCGTTTTTGTTCCACAAGCAGCGTGTTCGACCCGTGTTGTCGAGATCCAACACACCCAAACGGGTCTGCATTAAGCACCTGATCGAGTAGCTAGTTGCTAACCCTAGCTACAATGGCTTGCAAGGGGAGGCATTGCGGGTTGAATGGCGGGGATGCAATGCCACATAGCTGGGCCAGACTCAAATACCCATGTAGTTGAAACGGGAAATGCAAACAAGCTAAACGCGTGCTTCAGTGGCTAGCTTTGCTAGTCACCCAGCTCCCAGAGCATCTAAGCAGCCCAAACGGATCTGATTCGCGGACCGTTCCCCGGTAGGTTAGGCCCGGGCATAAAGCCGCCCTCCGGCAAAAAGCTTGCACCTAAGCTCAGACCCGATTCAAGCCATGAAACTCAGCCCCAAAGTTAACCTTTTGGCACCTTGACTATGGACCAAACCAGGCACCCCCAGCAAAAAGTGAAGTGGTTGCTGGCCTGGGAACATGAAGGAAACCCAAAATGAAACAAGGGCAACACGGTTCGTTCAATTTGTATGGCTTACCCTTCCCCTCAAAAGGCAGCGCGCAAAACACAATGTCGTTAGATTTGCCTGATGTTTGATCCTACCAACAAGTTTGTCAAGGTTTACGTGGGCAGTACTGTAACACTGTAAAGCCAGATAGTGCAACCACCTAACATTGCCGATAAAAACAGGTTTTGGGCTGCTCAATTGGGCACTGGTGCCCCCCATTGAAATTCATGGCGACGTGTCGGTCTCCAATGGTCCGGTGCTTCAACGATGCTCCAACGGTCTTGGAAACTCCTGGTGTTCACGCCTTCCCCCTCTGTGATTTGTCTACTGAAGCTACTCCAGATTCAACTTTTTGCTGTGGGTCACAGGCAGAAACGTCGCTCCGGCGTCCAAGTCGGCAAACGCCTGAAACTTCAGATTTTCTCGATCTTAATGGGCCCATGAACGGGGCCCTCAGCTCCTCAGGTTCTCGGGTTGCCATATACAATCTGTGCAATGGCCAGTGTCCTTGGGTGTTGCTTCTGCCCTTGAACAAACATCACTTGCGCAACCGGCCCTCGGATCCTGCCATGCTCGGAACTAAATGCAAAGCCACCAGGAAGCTCCAGGATTTTCAGAGAAAAGAGCGGTTGTTCAAAAAACCTCCGTGTGGCTTTCAACTTGGCCCACATCTGGGATACACATAATTAACGCAGTGTCGCATTCGAGCTCCCAATTTAGGATGCCCTGAAATTCCCTGAAGTACAAAATAGTGAAGGAGACCCCAGATTGTCCAAACAGCCTCCTTTGGGATTCCCTTTAAAGGGGACCGGTCGGTTGCTTCAACAACGATTGCCCAATCCTTGGCTCGCCCACGTTTGACGTTATCAAGCGCCGAGGGCAGTGCCCGTGAAGCGAAGCGTGTGCATCACCTGGCACGAAGCCAGTTATTGTTTTTCGTGCAGGAGACTAAGACATGGGTTTGTCTTGCCATACAAGCGGGCGTCGTAAAGTTCACCCCACGTCGCGTTAAGTCACCCCAGCCATCGATGCCCAGCCGCTTGGAACTACGCATATCCGCTTAAGTCACCCCATGCGTTTTAAGTCACCCCATTTTTTGCACAGAACTGGAAGGGCAATGTTGCCAACCCCAAGAATTCACCGCGCACTGCACGCACATGCTCAAAACGCACTGGTCTGGGTCTCTGGATCTCTGGATTTCTGGATTTCTCATTCAAACTTCAGAAAATCCAAAACTCACCCAAATCCCTGACACCAAGTAACCGGACCAACCAGCCAGCCCCCCCGGCCAGGGCTAAGCCAAGCCAGGGCTAGTAGAAAACAAAAGGTTCCGGCCGGAACACCCGACAAAAGGGCTGCCGGCGCGAGTGCCGTGCGACTCTGCGCGAGTGCCGCGCGAGCGCCGGGTGAGCCGTGCCCTCATCCCAATGAAGATTGCTTCCGCTTGTGGCACAACTTCAAGTGCTGCGGCACGAGAAGGGAGAACGACCCAGTGGCAGTGAACATACACGCATGCACACGGCACATGGAATTGTGAATCTGGGGTCTCATGGGCACCTTTCTGTCAGGATACCTCGAGTAGAACATCATTCATTTTGCATGCGCACAGCACAGAACTATGCGATTTCAGAAAGGGGTACCCCCCAGCAAGACAGACCCAAATCCCGGAACTTTGGTTGGTGGTCTCGTTTGGGGGGGGTTGATTGGGGGGGAGCGTGACGTAGTAAACCCTCCAAGCCGTGCCGGTGTTGCTGTGTTGGTGATGGGATCCATCTCCGGTAGCACCTCAGCTCGCAAAGCCTTGGGAGCCTCTCCAGACCAAAAATGGAACTTAATGGATCCCAGCTGGCCAGGGAACCCTTCCCCATTCTCTCTTGTCCTTTTTGTCTCCGGGTGGTTCCTTTGGTTGCTTCTGCAGCGCCGGGGAAGGCTTCTCAAAATGTGGAACAGCTCACTTTGGCGCTATGAACTTGAAGTAAGAGTTGTGGTTGGTGGACGTCAGTCCCCGTCCGCAAATCCTTCTTAACATTCATGGGGGAGGGAGGGGAGGGAGCCTCCCCTTTCTCCCCGCAGATGAAGACAGGGAAGCCGGTCAGTGTTTGGGTTTGCTATTGAACATCCCTATTTTTCGGAAACCAACCGTGTCAGGGAACCTATTCCTACTTTGACAAGCCCTCAATGCATGGGAATCAATCAGGTTGACTGCCTGCAGATCGGACGGGAAAATAAGACTCCGAAAACAGACCACATATCTGAGAAAAAACAAACAACCCGCATGCTAAGTAATGAATATGCTCCTCTGAACCCGGCCCTCCTCATCTCGTAGTCGTGGACACGCGGCTGATCACCCACCATTTCCCACGAGTTGGACACCCAGGCCTTGAGTTCATTCCTCTGTTTTTTGCTGGTCCCCTTCCAAAAGCGTTGCATCTTCGGGAACTTTTCAGGATCCGAAATTTCCATCGCATTCTTGGCCATGCAGAACCTCTTGTGAGTGCTGGTATTGATCTTCATCAGGGCCGGATCCGCGGGCCCCTGCGTAGCTTTTCGAGGAACCCAATTGATCTGCTGTGGCCCTTAGCACGCGCTGCCTGAAAATTGTTTTTCTGGATGGTACCATGAACCTCCCGCAAAAAGGGCAACCTTTTTTGGACATGGAAGTGGTCAGCCCACCCTAGGTCCTATAGGTGCCCAAATTTCAGGAAGGATCTCCAGGACAAAAAAGACATCAGTGGTAGTTGATGCTCAAGGGGGTCCCAAACAAAAGGAAAACAGGAATCTGGGCATGGAACTTGCCTATTCCCCAGAGTTGCCTAGGTCTCTGCAAATTCTATTGATAGTGTTGAGAACAAACAACTTGGAAAATGAAGAGAACTTTTATAGAAGAGAAGAAAAGCATCTCAAATGCGGTCAAGGGAACACCTGAAAGGCAACCTTAGTGACGACTCCGCGTATCATCAGATCTGTCAAGACTTCAAGGTCCATTGGGTCTCTCTCTTTTTGGGGTACCCCTTGTTTGTGGTCTTTTTTAGAGGAAAGCCGCTGGAAAACCGCTATTGTGGAGACCGTCTATTCAGCAGCTTCCAGTAGGATAGCTCTGCCCATTGTTTTCAACAGGAACATACTGGGTACCCAATGCCAACAGTGAGTTGACTCATCGCCAGTTGCTCATGTTGAGGTTTTCCCATGGACAACTGTGTCTTCAGGGGCCAACAAAATCAAGGATCAAGGGACAGGAACGGCAGCAGAAAGCCCCCGCCTAACAGCTGACTCAATTCTCAGTTCCCAGTTCTCACCAAAAACATGCCTTGAAGGGTTGACACAATCGTGTTTTTTTCTGGTTGTTCCCCTTCAACACAAGCAGTCACAGCAAACAAAAAAACTCTGAACTGATCTGGTATCGTTCCTGGACCTCCCTTCCATGGTGGGGTAAACTTTGCTTAAACAACCAGCTCTGGGTTCCCGTTGAAGTTGTTCAAACAAAGGGAAACAAAAAGAAGAAACACCATTTTGGGGCCTCGTAGGAAGACACACGCACACATCCACTTTCCAACTTTGGCTTGGCCCATTTTCCAACTTGTCAGGTTGGTTCAAAGGGAAACTGAACGGACGCCCGGACCCAGTCCCAGTGAATGTCCATGAGAATAGGCAGTCTGCTTGGGTTGATTTTCAATCTTTAATCAGCTTTCCCCTAATTGGTGGCCTTGACTGGTTGTTCAGGAGTGGTTTTCTCATTAACAAAAACTAGTCAAAGCTAAATCCAAACCGCTAGTTACGGGCTACCTGTTAAGCGCCTTTTTATTCAAAACAATTCAGCTCTCGGAAGAACACCAACAACGCCAGAGGACAATACGCACCCTGCTCGGCTTCCAATTTTTGGGAGCCAATATGCCAAGGTAATCAGTGTTTGGGGCAAAGAGGCAACAAAAACCTCAATAACGGTCAATTCGCTTTGGCCGTGGCGCCAGGTGCAAGACATTGCGCTGGCCGAAGAAGGGCCGCGTCACGAGGTGCTCCGCAACACCTTGGCATTTTGGTAGCTCTCTACCCGTGAATGAAATCCATAAAAAATCATCTAGGGGGGCTTCTCTGTCATGAACGGATTCTACTCGTTTCTTGTTCCCTCAATCACTTTCATGTTTCAGGCAAAGGGCCCGTAGTGAGGTGTGGTACTTGCCACCGCATTTTATGATCATACCTAGGCTTGGTCTCCAAGTTTCTCACAATGCCGTTCTAATTGCTCCGATCCCTTTTTGTGGGGCCGCACTCAAAGCCGCCGATTTATGACGAGCTTACCGAGGGGGGCCGCCTATGTAATGCTTACACGGCGGCCGCGTGAGTGTGCTTCAGCTACGCGCTATATCTTGCTGAGGAAATTGGACTGCGGGTCTGGGGGCATTTCTACCTCGCAAAGCTGCACTTTGCTAGCCGCGCCTGAAGATGAATCGCGTCCGCTCGGTGTTTGCCTGTCGCAGCGGGCACACCTCATATATGTGGAGGCTACGTCGGTCTTCCATGTTTCGGCTGCAACTTGAGCTATTTCGGGATGCCACAATTTGGAGAACAATGACCTAGAAGCACTCACGCAGGTCTTGGCGGCCTCATACGATCTCAAGGAATTCCGCGCTGGCAACGCACATGCCGCTCGTGCGTGTTGTGTGTTCTACGCTGACCCACGCAGGTAACACATTAACCTATGCAGCGTTTACCCCACGGCAGAAGGGAGTTCTTGCAGGCAAGTTTGCAGTGTATACTTGCGCCTTCTTGCCCAGCACTCGGTCCACTTGAACTGGAGGTTCACTTTCCAAGTGCTTCAGTTTTTTTAGAGTTGTCCTGTTCGGACGACGGTCCTTGAACACAAGATATCGCAACGTACCAGGTTACCAACATCCTGGTGGTAGCAAGGGACACATCCTGGCACATGTGAGGCACTCGTCTGGCACATGAGCGGCGCGTGCGTTTGGAGCAGAAAACAAGCGCAAACCTTCAGCGTCTTGGAGCGACAGAAAATTCAGTGGAGTGGAGCGCGGAGTGAGTCGGAAGTTGTGGAGTGCGGGGTGCGGAGTGCCGTGTGGAGTGTGGAGCGCGCAGCTCAGCGTGGAGAGCGGTGTGCGGAGCGGCGTGGGAGAGGCGTGGAGCGCAGTGTGGAGGGTGCGTGCAGTGGAATGGGAGAGGAGCGGAGCGCAGTGCGGAGCGGCATTGAGCGGCGGCGTGCGGAGTGTTGTGGGGTGGAAAGTGTGGAGCGCGGAGCACGAACCTCACCAGTAGTGAAACGAAAGGCGATGGCGTTCCCACTTGCAGCGCAAGCTCCTGACTGCTTCTACGCGCCTGATGCTGCTGGGGGATTTGATTGTGCGCCCTTTGCGCTGGCGCGGCTTCTGGCAACTCATGTGGGAAACTAAAATGATTGCGAGTGATCTCCCTTGAAACCACCCGCAACATATCCCTGCCAGACTTCATTGTGCTGAGCTCTCGTGGCAGCTCCAAAATCGCAAGGCTTGAAAACAGCGTGCTGCAGGTTGGTTGCCTGCACAAGCGGCCGCCTTCGGAGGAGCAGCGCGTGCTGCACAGCCTTTCAAGGAAAGCTAGCAAATTATAAAGCTTACAGTAAGCAAGGTAGGCTACCCGGACTGATGGTAGGCGGCGTACACTCTTCCACATGCACCGTCGCCACTGTCCTGGCGCTGACTCTGAACGCGAACAGGCTGTTGCGCAAGTAGCGGAGCTCACGCCGTCGGAAAGCCGCCTTTACGCCCAGCAGCGCGTGCTTCGACGTGCTGACTGCCGGCAGTGGCAGCAGGACATGAAAGAGATTGGGATCCTCGTGCCTTGGGCGGCATGCCAAAATCTCTCCTGGCCAGCTGGAACCAAGCTTTCAGAGTCTGGCCCCCTGATCTAAAAACTGTCACAAGGACCGCTCAAATGTCACTGGACAGGTGAGTCAGTCCATTTTTTTTTAGGAGTCAGGCATGTAAGCCACAAAGAGGTGACGCAAGGAGCGTGTTAGCTGAAGCAAGGCTTCATGGAGAGGGTCTCACTACCCAAGCACACGCAAAGCTAGTTGACAAGCCGCTGTCACAAGCACCAGCAAACGAAGGTGCCCAGGCTAAGCAAGACCCCAGTGGACCCACCGCTGGAAGCAATGCCGCAAATCCTGCCTCAGCATATCACTTCGATCAGCACTTGCGAATATGCACAGACCTGGCAAAACCGCACCACAATACGGCGGGCAGCTTCGCTCTCAACACCTTCAAGCCTTACCCCGTCGCAAGTGGAGTTCTGGCTCAAACAGCGTGGCGGCATCCTCATCATCACCATGATCATTGCCATCATTATCATCATCCTCATCATTCTCATCCTGATGCTCATCATCACCATCATCATCACACCATCATCATCATGATCATCAACAACATCATCATGAACCATCATCATCATCATCATCATCATCATCATCATCATCATCATCATCATGATCACCATCATCATCACCATCATCATCGCCATCATCATCATCACCATGATCAAAACATCACATTCTCACATCATCATGCATCAAGTTAGCATATCAGCATAAAGCTCATACAGTATCATCATTAATATATGAGATCCGCTCAGGGAAAGAAACCTTACGGCCATGTGACAAACTGAAGGTCGCTGCTGGCGGGACTTTGCCAGAGCCAAGTGGCCGGTGAACTCTAAGCAGTCACACCGGGGACATGGGCGTCCAAAAACAGGGCACCCAGCAACTTGCTTGATTTCCTCTTGCTTCCCTTTGACATGCAAAAAGCGACAATTGAGGAGGCCACCCCAAGGAGAAGAGCGGAGCGGAGTGCGGAGCGGAGCGGAGTACAGTGGAGTGAGGGTGGGGTGGAGAGTGCAGAGTGCAGTGAGTGGAGAGAGTGGAGAGTGGAGTAAAATGGACCATGAACAGTGGAGTGCGGAGTGGTGTGTGGAGCGGAGTGTGAGTGAAGTGGAGCAAACCAGTTGCCAACCGCACGTGCTCATGCAAGAATCACAGATTTCACACTTTGTATTGTAAGTGCTTTAAGTGTGTTGGCTGGGGGAAGTTACTTAGCAACCAACAAGCACTGCAAGTACATATACACTTGGGCCAGCAATTACATTACGTACGCTTGTAACCCAAGATACAATAGGTTTCAACAGGATTTACATCCACCTGCTGGTCGCCGGCTACCCCTCATTTTGTACAATTGCAACACCAAACGCGCAATTTGCAAAACCTGCGCACGCTTTCGGTTTTCTAGCACCAACGACCAAATTGTCATAACCGTACGGTTCTGTACGGTTCCGAACGCTCCAAAACGACTTGCAAACGCTTGTTGACCGCCTTTGAACGCATTTTGAACGCTTTTTGGCATGAAAGAGTTTCGAAACGGTCCCGAATCGACAAAGTCGCACTGGTAGTACAATTTTATCCAAGTTTCCAAACTTTCCGTTTGGTGTTACAATTGTACAATAAGGGGGAAGCAGGCAGTAAATGTGCTACAAGTAGAGGGACCAGTTTGTGCATGCACTGCCTACATGAGAAAAACATGTGGATTCCATTTGCAGGCGTTCGTATGTGACCCTAGTTTACTACTAATGTAAGGGTTTACCTTAACTTGCCCCAAACTGGGGTACACAGAACCAGCCTGTGATCGACCAGAGGGCTGAAGTCTAACCCCAAGCATCAGAAAAGAACCCTATTCACGGTTTCGAACCGGACCTCCATTGCAAGGTTTTGGAGGCCCTTTCCAGGCCCAAGATGTGGGAAAGATCCAAACGAGCGGGTCCCTTTCCAGGAGCCCCCGTGCGGTTTTGATTGGTTTTAAGGGGAACCCAAAAGGACAACCGCCATTTTTGGGGTACCCCTGAAAAAGAAAAGACACGCCCAAAGCAACGGCGCAGCTTGAGCGACCCCGCGCTTTTGCTTTGCTTTCTTTGGTGCTCGCCATTCGAGGCCGCCGCACGCTGGGCGGCCACATGCTGCGGAGCTGTGAGGCACCTGAGAGATTTCTCCGATGCGCGCCGAACACCCCCCCACCCGAAGTGGAGAATTTAGCCACTACCTGGAGTCTCCATGACCCTCAAAAAATGTGGTCATTACCCAAAATTAAAGAGTCATGGACCCATTTCTTAAGGGCTATGGAGACTCTACTTGGGTGTGCCTCCTTAAGGAATCAGAACCCCGGAAATGGTGGCTTTCCTTACGAATCCCTTGAAAACCAGCCAAGCGAGGCAACAAACGAGAAACAAAACGGGATACAGTCGGCTCGTGGCAGCCTCCAGACCAACGGTGCGAAGGGCGATCCGGAGATCCGGAGATTTGGCGTCCATGTTACGGGGAGTCGTTTGCCTTTCTGGCAAGTGAGCAAAAGAAAGCTCAAAGTGGATGAGTGCTGTATTTCCTCGAAGTGATTGCATTTCCATGTTGTAGGCAAACAAGGGAACCACCCTACAAAGATGCAGGGAAGGCGTAAAAATGTCGAAAAGCCAACCTAAAAGGTCACATCGCTTTGGGCAACTGAGATATTTCCCCTATGGAGGAAAACTTGATCATCGCATGTCAGTGGCAAGCAGATGTTTTGACATCGAAATTGGAATTGAGTGAATGTGCATTTGGTGCGTTCTCTGGTGTCAACTCCCTTTAACGCAAATGATGACCCAGTGATGACACAATGACAGGATTCTGCATGCCACGATAGCCTGCGGTGTTGGCTTCGTTTCCTTTTAAAGCAACCCCAAAAAGAGCACACTGAACAAACCACGTCACATGCCTTTGTGACCTCCTCCAAGCCATGTTTGCCGCCGTTTGCCGAACAAGCGCATTGTTTTAGTCTTTCACTTTTTCGCTGCCAAAGTGTCGATTCAAACTTGGTTCCACATATTGCTGGGCAAAGTCGCCGTTTGGTCGGGGAAAGGCGCCGTTTGGTTGGGCTTCATGGATAAAAGTCCCTGGAGACTCAAACAAGTGTCGTTTGTCAGAAACGAAAACGGCTTTTCATGAAAAGGCATGATAAATACACACCTTGAACATCCAAAACATCGGAGTTGCTCGTGGCCCCCTTTTTGGTGTGGAAACGGAGACGCAAAGGCACCCTTGGCCAGTCTTCGGCCCCCCACCGAAGTGTGTCATAGTGCTTTTAAACGAAAACAACAGGGAAACCGTTGGCAATTTCGGGGGATCCCCTCTTTCTATGGCCAATCCATGTGATCTGCCGACCTAATCCTAAGCCCTAAGCCTAACAAGTCCTGGGCGGCACGCATAGATTGGGCGTATGTTTAGACATAACAAGAAAGGAGTCTCTCACTTGTTTAAAGAACCTCGAAATAAAAGCTTTGAAAGGTGAACCTGTTGGGACCTTGACGAAAAGTCGACCAAACCAGCAAAGCCAAAAGGTCATTTCAGGTCGACTCGCTGTGGGCACCTGAGACCTACCAGCGCCCTTCCCGCGTCGCACGCGGCTTTTTTAGATGCGGCAGAACTTCTCAGCAGCGCCTGGGCCGCATGGCCGGCGGTTTGTGTACCAGCCGATGCTGCAGCCAAGGAACCAAAAAAGCGATACCTTTTCAGTCCTTGGTATGGTAGTTGCAAATAACTGAGTCACAATCAAAAACCGGTACTAAAATGGTCGACCCAGAACCATGTAAAGAATTAAGAAGGCAGCCGCAGCTACTTATGGTTGGGATTGTCCCTTACTAACCTTCATTTATTACCCGGGGTTTCATTGTGTCTCAACTGTTGTTTACAGCCCCTACTAAAAATGAGAGTAACAAACACGTTTAAACACATGCCCGAAACAGTGAAGTTGCCCGAAAAGAAGATAGCTGCAACATAGACCCCTCGTGTGCATAGGCGGTGCCTGTGGATTGGTCACTCAAACAACTTGAAGCAACTGACAATATCTTTTCCTGAATGGGTGGGCCGAAACATGTCGGAAGTCGCTTACCAACAACATTGTCTTTCCGAAAAGTATGGAGCCCAGACACTGGGAAAGTGTCTGCAATCTGCAATTCTTGAACCGCGGGGACAAAACACCTTTTTGGTGTTAGCAAATTCTAAGCAAAGCATTGTGTGTCCTTTTTGCTTCAAACTTACACTGGCTCGTGACTTTTCTTTGGCTTGGCAATGGTAATCGCGCTATCAATGGCTTTGCTGAGTTAGTCGTGAAAAAGTGTTGAGGCATTTCAAACTACCCTTAAAGAATTGGATATTGCCCCCAAAACGACGTGTTTCCTCATGCTTAAAGGGTATAGTTTGAGGGTCTATAGTATGCCAGTCTCCCAAATTGACGAATCAGGGGACACTTGTCTTGTAAAGAAAACCATTTAAGAACCAGTCCATGGAGCCAAATGAAACCCCCCGGCTCCGAAGGGACCCCGGCGGTACTCGAAGGGATGGATCCAGAAGTTGGCGCCCTCGGCAACCGACGTTTTTTTTTCTTCAGGGGCCTTGTGCTTTCGGTTTTCTGAAACTAGAAGGTTGGCGCAACCCAAGGTGTTTGGGGCTGTTTGAGGTTGAAACCAAAGGAGCTTCCAGAATTTTGGGGGTGCCCGCGAATCTGAAACATCATATGGATCCCACAGATTCCGCGTTAGCGAGGGTGATCGTTTGCAGAGCCACAAGAATGATTCAACCCTGAAAAGGGAAACCAAAGGAAAGTGAAGGAACTCGTTCATTTCCTGCCTAGGTTTGGTCACCTGAAGTCTAAACGAGCGAGCCTGCTTCGAACTCGATCCGATCCTTAGACTGTTGTATTTAATTATTTGTATACAGCTGGAATGGACACACACACACACATAATATAGCTTGAAAGGCCAAAACAGGTCACATTGGCGCGTGTCCTCAAACCTGGCTCCTGGTGGAAAGCTGTTTCTCCTTGGCATACAAAGTGGGGCCATCCCATCTCCTTACAGCTAAACATCACTTTAAACTGGGTTCCTGAAAAAGGGACAGAACTTCACCAGCCAAGACAAGAAATGCATTTCCCATCATCATGGGACATACTTGTAACTGAGTGAAATGTGGGCCATCCAAAAAAACATGCCTGGAATGACTCGATCAAGGGAGGTCTCAAGACAAAGCGGATCGCTGGCCGCCTAGAGGAGAGGCGAATGTTTTAGGGGCACCGGATATTGACACAGCCCCACCCCCAGATCTTCATGACATTGACTGCCACAAGCTCGATCACCTGACGCAGGCTCAATGGAAAGCCAAGCACATTTGGGTCACAAAGCCATTTGGCAGGATAGGGGGACCCTTTGGGCTGCTGGTTCTCTCCTGGGCTTGCTTGATGTTGGAAGGGAGCAAAACCTAAACTTTAAGAGGTTAGGTGGAGCAGAGGCCCGTGGGCCCTCCTAGCGAGGGTCCGGGGCCCTTGTAGGGAGGGACGCCTGTTTGTCGGGTACGGGGCCCTCGCGTCGGATAACCGTCGGATAAGCCGTCGGATAAGCCGCGGACCGGGGCCCCCAAAACTGAGGGTCTGCGAGGGCCCCGGCGTCGGATAGCCGTCGGATAGCGAAGGCCAGGGCCCAAAACACAAGTTGGGAGCGTCAAATCCCACTGCCCCAAAAGCCGGATCCGGGGGCTCACTTCAAAAAAAATTATAATTTGGGCAGAAAACAGCCTTCCAGCTGCAATGGAGTAAAGCGCAGACTGGAATGCAATATCCGGAGCCAAAGAAGATCAAAGAAGTAGGCACCATGGGCAGTTGCAGTAAGGTGCCTGAAGACTTCTTACGGCTGAGAGGAAGAAATCTTGAAACCCGCGCTGTCCCTGTACTCAGCTGAGTGGGCAGCCTCCAAGGTCCTTGTCTTCAGACAGCTCTTTGGCAAACATGGCAGTAACGTACATGTCCATTTCCTGGCAGACACGATGGCGGAGCTGCACGGCGAACGCTGAAGGTCCTCCCACATCCCATGCAGCGCTGTGAGCAAATCTGCCACAAGCTTCGGTGACTCCACACAAGCCGAAGTGCAGAGCTTCTCGGAAAGATGTACGCCATGTGTGCTCTGACACCGTGGTCGAACGGTGCTAGGTTGGTAGGATACTTCTCGGCCAGGGCCAGACCTGATTCAAGACACCCGCAGAGCAAGCACTTGCAACGGCAGCGCCCCCTCAATTACTGCAAGCCAACACCCCCTATTAATCTACCAGGCCTGCTGCCTTGGTTTTGCACACCAGCTCCTTTTCCACTTGCAACTGCTGAGCCCCCTCAATTACTGCAAGCCAGCACCCCCTATCAATCTACCAGGCCTGCTGCCTTGGTTTTGCACACCAGCTCCTTTTCCCCAGGTAGCCCTGTTACACGATTGTGTAGGTGTCTGCAAACACAGCGGGACTTACAATATAGTTCTCGCGAAGCCGTGAGGCTTCGCCGGTGCCAATAAGGTAATCGCCCGGCATTGGTTGCAATTCTTTGCGTTTCACTGCAGACTGCAGCAGCCTGTGAATCAAGTGAAAAAACGGCTCCGTGCACATGTCCTCATTCCACCAAGAGTAACATACATCATTGCTGATGAACATTGCCACAGTGCATGACGAGCGGTGCTACGCACAACTCCTCGCCCCACGACGCAATAAAGCATCCCTCAGGAATATCCTCCAGAGAGAGCTGCACCTTTCCACCGGACATCTGGCTCTGTCAGCTCGCTTTGACAGCCGAGCAGCGCAACGGCGCCTGGTAGCAGGCTCAGGCTCTCAGAGAGCCTGTCAGCGACTCGTGAAAAAGAAGCGCGCGGTCGCATGGTGGCAGCTGGTGCAAACCAACAAGCATAGCTGCATTTGCGACGCAGCCCGGGCTAACTTGTTCTGGGCCCTTCGTCAGATTAAGCTTGTGGTCGGCAATTTGCTGCCAAATCACACACTGTTCCCCTTGGCGTGGCAGCATGGAACTGGCTGCGCGGAAAAAAGCAACAAAGCTACCCAGCTTTGCAAACAAATCACCAAGCTGGGCCATATTAGTTGTCTCCAGCTTTCCGTCAACCCAGGTCTCGACGGATTCT